GCACCGTGGTGGTTCATTGAGAACTACAAGCTGACAGCTGCTAAGGCTGTCGGGACTTGTAGTTTCTCATTCACAGAACACAGTTGTTTTTTTAAATTCTCTATTTAAAAGATTGCAACAGATAACAAGAAATATATTGACTCCCATGTACATGTCCAACATAAGATGTCGTATGTTACAAGGCACATTGCAGAGGACAAATAGAAAAATAAATGTATAAATACCCATTATGCATGGATACAGATAGACATACATTGCAATGTCAAATAGGATAAATCTGCTCCTGTATCTAATACAAAGCAGTTCCTATGAGTCAAATGTGGATACAGATAACTAAGGGCGTGCAAATCCCAAACATATTTTTTACTATTTTATCAAGACAGAAAGAAAAGAGATAGAAAGAAAGAGAAAATAAAAAAGGGCGAGGGGGGGGGGAGGAGTGCCTCTGAGGGAACTTGGGGGAGGCACATCTCAACATCTATCCATGGACAAAGCCAACAGAAGGAAACTACGCTAGTCAATGGCATACGTATTGCATATATTCATCAGAGAAACAAAAGAGATTCCAATAAAACCACCTGGTCTTATGTTCCTCAGTTTTGTCTCGCAAGGTTGAGGTCAGGTCCTCCAGTTGTTCTATATCATTCACCCTAGCAAGCCATTGGGCAACTGTCGGGGGAGATTGCTGTTTCCATAAGCTAGGAATGCAGGCCCGTGCCGCATTCAGCAGATGCTTCAGAAGAGATTTGTGATACCGCTTCTGCGATAGGGGAGTTAGATTGAGCAGAATCGCAGCAGGATTATCTTGCAAGGAGATGTCCGTAAATTTGTGAATAAGGTGAAGCACCGGTTGCCAGAAGGTTTGAAGTTTAGGGCATTCCCAAAAGATATGTAAGAGAGTACCTACCAACGAACCACATCTCCAACAACAATCACTTTGTTAAGGCTAAAGTTTTGCAAGGACCGACCGAGTTCTGTACCAACGTGTCATTATCTTGTAGGTGGTCTCTTGGTATTTGCTACAGACGGACGATTTGTGTGCAAAGAAGAGTATGCGTTCCTTTTGGGAATCTGAGAAACTAACCTATAGGTCTCGTTCCTACTTAACCTAATAGGGGGGGTCGGACTGAGCATTGAGATCTAGAAGGTATTTGTAAGAGGTAGAAAGAGAGCTTTGAATCGGATCTTCTCCCAAACACAGCTCCTCAAATGTTTGCAGCTTTCTAGGGAAAAGTGAATGTTTAGGCAGAGAATACACGAAGTGGGATAGTTGGAGGGTCTTCCAACAGTCTGTGAACAAGGTGGATGGGCTGGGGAAACGGGTATCCAACGCAACCCATCCAGTGGGATACAGAAAGTGAGATGCACGGAGTAGACCCTGGGAGGTCAGGGAACGGAAGCTAAAATTAGTAAGCCCTAGTGGAAATCCTGGGTGGCCTATGATGGGCATCATGGGACAGGGAAAGCTCTCCAAAGATGCCAAGGAAAAAAATCTGTTCATTTCAGCCAACACGGAACCTATTAGTGGATGAGCATTCAGGTGGGATGGGTGTTGCTTTCCTGCCCATGGAAGTCCTGCAAGCGGGGCTTCCGACAGTTCTTGTTCCAATGTGACCCATAATTTGTGCTTCTGGTGTCTACACCAATCCACTCTTCTGGTCATCTGAACCACTGTATAATATAGCACAAGATCTGGGAAGCCCAAGCCACCCCTCAGCAACAAATTCCTACTTAAACGCGGATGTTTACCATGCCAAGCTTATGGCAGTTTAAGTGGTAGAGCCTGTAAAAGGTACAATGACCATGGCATAACGTTCATCTTCAACACGTTACACCAACCAAACCCCCCCACGACAAGGCAAGGGAATCCCACCTTTGTAGGTCAGCAGACAACACCGGCAGGAGAGGTTTGAAATTAAGGGGGTAGATAGTGTCCAGGTGTGCAGAAATTTTAGTTGCCAAATATTGTATAAACTGCGTAGCCCATTTAAAAGGGAAGTAAGGGCAAACTCTAGTAATCGGTAATGCGGGTATGGGCACATTCAAAGCTTCGGACTTTTGAAGATTAACTTTAAAATTGTAAAATGTACCAAATGTCTCCAATTCCAACAGGAGGGAGGGTAGGGAAGGAAGGGGGTTGGTGACATAGAAAACCAAGTCGTCGGCATAAGCCGCTACCTTTATGGTGGTAACCTTTTCTTAGCACACCCTATACAGGACTATTGTGTCTAATGTGTTGAAGAAATGGCTCCAAAGTATGGATGAACAATAGAGGTGATAGTGGACAGCCCTGTCTAGTTCCATTGGATATCAAAAATGGGTCTGAATTACAACCATTAAGCAGACCGTGGTGGACGTGTTAGTGTATAACGCAGAGACCCAAGACAGCATCTGTGTCGGTAATCTTATCTGTTGTAAAGTTTCCTAAAGGAAATTCCAATTTAACCTGTCAAATTGTCAGGGCTCCGGATATGACCAGAGGTGTGTGGACTGACACAGGGAAACGCAGGCTTCAGATATAGTATAAACAATATAATTTATTTGAGACTAAACAATACATAAACGCAGTGCAAGACTAAACATAAAGAACATCAGGCTGGGCACCGGACAGAAGCACATCAGGCTGGACACCGGACAGAGGCACATCAGGCTGGACACCGGACAGAGGCACATCAGGCTGGACACCGGACAGAGGCACATCCAGGCTGGACACCGGACAGAGGCACATCCAGGCTGGACACCGGACAGAGGCACATCAGGCTGGGCACCGGACAGAGGCACATCAGGCTGGACACCGGACAGAGGCACATCAGGCTGGACACCGGACAGAGGCACATCAGGCTGGACACCGGACAGAGGCACATCAGGCTGGGCACCGGACAGAGGCACATCAGGCTGGGCACCGGACAGAGGCACATCAGGCTGGGCACCGGACAGAGGCACATCAGGCTGGGCACCGGACAGAGGCACATCAGGCTGGGCACCGGACAGAGGCACATCAGGCTGGGCACCGGGCCACCAGGCGGAGCACCGGGCCACCAGGCGGAGCAGCGGGCACCGGGCCACCAGGCGGAGCAGCAGGCACCGAGTCATCTGGCAAGACAGCGGGCTCCGAGTCATCTGGCAAGACAGCGGGCTCCGAGTCATCTGGCAAGACAGCGGGCTCCGAGTCATCTGGCAAGACAGCGGGCACCAAGTCATCTGGCAAGACAGCGGGCTCCGAGTCATCTGGCAAGACAGCGGGCTCCGAGTCATCTGGCAAGACAGCGGGCTCCGAGTCATCTGGCAAGACAGCGGGCACCGAGTCATCTGGCAAGACAGCGGGCACCGAGTCATCTGGCAAAACAGCGGGCATCGGGTCATCAAGCTCGACAGAGGGCACCGAGTCATCTGGCAAAACAGCGGGCATCGGGACGTCAAGCTCGACAGTGGGCACTGAGTCATCTGGCAAGACCGCGGGCACCGAATCATCTGGCAAGACCGCGGGCACCGAGTCATCTGGCAAAACAGCGGGGCACCGGGTCATCTGGCAAGACAGCGGGCATCGGGTCATCAAGCAAGACAGCGGGGCACCGAGTCATCTGGCAAGACAGCGGGCTCCGAGTCATCTGGCAAGACAGCGGGCACCGAGTCATCTGGCAAGACAGCGGGCATCGGGTCTTTACGCTCGACAGCGGGCACCGAGTCATCTGGCAAGACGGCGGGCACCGAGTCATCTGGCAAGACGGCGGGCACCGAGTCATCTGGCAAAACAGCGGGCACCGAGTCATCTGGCAAAACAGTGGGCATCGGGTCGTCAAGCTCGACAGCGGGCACTGAGTCAACTGACAAAACATCGGGCACCGGGTCATCTGGCAAGACAGCGGGCATCTCGGGTTGTCAAGCAAGACAGCGGGCACCGAGTCATCTGGCAAGACAGCGGGCACCGAGTCATCTGGCAAGACAGCAGGCTCCGAGTCATCTGGCAAGACAGCGGGCACCGAGTCATCAGGCATCGGATCGTCTGTCTCGACAGCGGGTACCGGGTCATCTGGCTCAACAGCAGGCACCGGGTCATCAGGCATCGGATCGTCTGGCTCGACAGCGGGCACCGGGTCATCTGGCTTGACAGCGGGCACTGGGTCATCTGGCATCAGGTCATCTGGCTCGACAGCGGGTACCGGGTCATCTGGTTCGACAGCGGGCACCGGGTCATCAGGCATTGGATCGTCTGGCTCGACAGCGGGTACCGGGTTATCTGGCTTGACAGCGGGCACTGGGTCATCTGGCAACAGGTCATCTGGCTCGATCAGTTCAACAGGCTGGGTGGGTGAACATCAGGCTGGGTAGAACCATCAGGCTGGGTAGAACCATCAGGCTGGGTAGCGTACACTCTGTCATCAGGCATCAGGGTATCAGGCTGAATTGCGGGTGCCGGGGCACCAGGCTGAACCACGGAAGGCGGGTTCTCAGACGGCAGGCTGACCAGTTTGGATACTGGCAGGATAATACTGGTTGGAAAGAATTTTCACTTTTTCCTGGTTTTAGTTACTGGAGCACAGGAAGTAAGCGCAGGTTTGTAAGTGGATAGAGCAGCTGTAGGGAGAGAAGAGCTGGGGGATGGAACAAAGGAGGGAGCAGTTGCTACAGAGGACTTTTTTACAGGGTTAAAGAAAGGATAGGTGCAGCGAGTGGGAGCAGGGGACTGATATGGGGTAGTTAGCAGAGTATACTGGGCCGTCACTGGGGGTGCTGTCGGGGATGCAGGAAGAGTGCTGTCAGGGATCTCCACGATCCCCGCAGCGATGGCCCTGGCGTAGGCGCAGTGCGCCGCCCTGTGCAGGGACACGGGTACTAGGTCCGGGCCGGCCGCGGCGTTCGAGTTCGCTCAAGCGCAGTAGAAGCCGCGGCCGCCCGCTGGGCACCAATGGCAGCGCAGGGCGGGATATTTAAATGGCCCTGAGCTGTCATTCAGTGCCTTCTGGTCTTACCTGTATCCTGCGAACCTGTGCCCTGTAAGTTTTTGACCCGGATTGTACCTGACCTTGCTTTATTCTCCTGTCCTGACCCTTGCTTTGCCTGACCTCTCTCCTGGATGCCCCCTATTGGATCTGACCTGCTGTTGCTGACCTGGCATGTGACCCGACTATTCTCTGCCCGCTGCCTTGTACCACACCGTCCTCTCTGTTACCGACCCGGCCTGTGTGACCTTGCTCATCCAGCCATCCCTCGCAGTGGGGTCTTCAGACCTCCTCATATCAGACTCTTTCCCGTGGGAGCCCTCGGCGCATACCACTACCACTGACGGACGTACCCAGTAGCCACGACCTGGTCTCGGGGTGCTCCAAGTCCATCCCCACCATCAGGGGCCCTGGTGAACAAGCACTCTGGGACTTAGATTCCGTGCGCTGGGGACGTCTATTCAGTGGAGTGCTAGTGGTACCACCGGGCGGTCCCTTACAAGTGCCTTGAGCAGAGGAATGACGTTGCAAGCTGACTGAGGCTGGGTGCAACAAGTCTGACCATGTCTGCAGTATGGGTTGAACAAAGCTCAGCTTACACAAAGTCTGTCTGGTCAAAGACTGCACTTCATTTATACAGTCTCTTAGTACCTGTTGTGAACATGCAGAATAACGCTCCAGAAAGTAATCCACATCATTCTCCAATAACCATGCCAGGGACTCTACCTGGTCGACACTAAATGGCGGCAAAAATTCATCCCTGCTTTCGGGGGTACCAGATGAAACCAACTCTGCACAAACCTGAATCAATGGTTGCACCTCAGAGAACAAGAGCAATGAGCGATCCTTATGCACTCTAGTAGTTGATCCCTGGTATACTCCTTCAGAGTCTGATAAGCATAATCTCTGTCATCAAACACTAGCAGAGACAAATACACCACCTCATCAAGATTCATCCTTCCCAGCAACAATAAGCCAAGATGGCTTCCCTGTGCAGCCACTTCTGGTCAGGATTGGCCTTGGTGTAATGTCAGGGCTCCAGGTATGACCAGAGGTGTGTGGACTGACACAGGGAAACGCAGGCTTCAGATATAGTATAAACAATATAATTTATTTAAGACTCAACAATACATAAACGCAGTGCAAGACTAAACATAAACACAGTGCAAACAAACCAAACCCCCAACAGATAACAAAAGAACAATACTAAGCGTAGTCGGGCAGGCCGGGTCAGTAGCAAACGGGCAGGCAAGGTGCAAAGGAGCAGGCAGAGCGTAGTCAGACGGGCCGGGTCAGGGACAATCAGGCAGATAAGGTACCAAAGGAGCAGACTGGAGAGTGGTCAGGAATAGCAGAGGTCAGGACAGGCGGAGTTCAATCAGAGTCAGGGATCAAGCAGGATCAGACAGGAAGCCGACAGGATGCAGGTACAGGGGCTCTTGGGAAACATACACCAAGGCGCTGATTGCAAGTCTGGCCATTCCTTATATGCACCTCCTGAAATCAGCTTCAGGTGTTTTGGCTGACTGCAGGAGTGAGCCTCTGGTTGCTGAGAGCACCCGCTGGCTAGTCCTGGTACTGCAACCCACAAGGCAGGTGAGTCCCACCACTATTGGCGAGTCCATTCCTGACACAAATGCTTTTCCTGTGTCCGTGGACAGGAGTAAAAGCGGGGTATGTGATTTCCTCACTTTGGCAATGATATTGAGAGTTCTTATGGTGTTATCTCGGGCCTCCTGTGTTGGGACAAAGCCTACCTGATCCAAAAAATAATACAGGGTAATAAAGAGGACAATCACAAGGCGATTATTGTAGTGAAAAGCTTAAAATCACAATTCAGGAGTGAGATAGGTCTATACCACACAACCACACAAGTGGATCCTTACCCGGTTTGGGAATCACAGATATGTTAGCATGCAAAAGATCGGACAGAACAACTTTGCCATCCATAATAGCATTAAAGGCAGCAGTGAAATGAGGTGCTAGAATCGACTGGAAGGATTTATAATAGGCTATGGTGAAACTGTCAGGGCAGGAGCTGAGGAACGGACAGGCAGGCCTAACAATGTAACGCACTGGCTGACGACAACCACCACCCACAGACCAAAGTCCCTCAGGGCGCGGAGTCTAAGTCCCAGGCTGCCCTTCACCAGGGCCCCTGATGGTGGGGATGGACTTGACGCAGCCAGGAACCAGGTCGCGGCCCCCGAGACACCTCAGCTGCGGTAATGGCCGCCGCCAATGGCGTGTAGCTGGTGGAAGAGACAAAAGAGTAGTCAGACAAGCCGGGGTCAACAACAACAGGACAGAACAGTACAGGACAGCAGACGAGAATCACAGGTCACGAGCCGGGTTCAGCAACAGAGGGTCAGATCAAAGGAGAATACAAAGAATAGTCAAGACAAGCCGAATCAGATACCAGGAGAGTCACGAGAGTCAGAACAGAGTAACAGCAACACAAAGACACAAGACACAAGTGCAAAGAGCATGTGCGGGCCACAGGCTTATATGTCATCAGCCACACCCCTCTGGAGGATGGACCACAGAAACCTGAAGGCATAAAAGGGCTCCCATCATGCACAGCAGAATCCAAGATGGACACCAGCACATGAAGTAACATAACCACAGGGAAAAGGTAGGACCTTGACAGAAACCATCTGGTCCCGGTGCCTTTCCAGGTTGGGTAGAGGCTAGTGTTACAACAAATTCCTCCGCTGAGATAGGTTTAGACAAGGCGTCTCTTTCGTCATCTGTAAGTGTTGTAAGGTTTGAATCTCATATATATTGGTGCATATCCGTGACCATATATGAGCTCGGAGGAGGCGTTGAGGAGGGATCCAGGTTGTAGAGCTTAGAGTAAAAAATCTCTGAAAGTTTTAGCTAGATCCGGAGCAGAGTGAATCTTTTGACCTGATGGGGAAGAAAGGGCAGATACATAGGTTCGATAAGGTTTGGCCCTCAGTGCATTGGCCAGTAATCGGCCACATTTGTCCCCAAACTCATAGAAGGAGTGGTGGGCCTTCAATAAAACATGTTTAGCATCATACAGGGAGTGTTCTTGAATAGATTCACGGACCCTCAAGAGGTCTGTTTCAACCGTATGATCCAATCCCGTTTTATGTGCGCGCTCTAGGACATGAAGCCGAGTCAGGAGGTCAGACAACGTTTTCTCCCTTTTCTGCTTGGCCAAATGGCCATGCTTAATAAGAATCCCTCGTACAAAGCACTTATGGGCAGGCCATACAGAGAGTGGGTTAGCTACATAATTTAAGTTCTTAGCAAAAAATGTGTGGTAAGTTCTTGAAGCATATCTGCAGCAATGCTGGGGTCTTTCAGAAGGGACTCATTGAGTCGCCAAGACGATGAATGAGGCTGTGTCATGTGTACCGATAATTCCAAGAAGATTAGTGCATTGTCCGATAGAGCAATATTACCAATTTCCGCATTGGAGACCTGGGGAATGGCCAAGTGTTTTAAGCAAGAAGAAATCAATTCTAGTATAGGAGCCATGCATGGAAGAGAAGAAAGTAAAATATTTTTCCTGTGGGTACAATATCCTCCAGATATCTACAAGTTGATGGGAATGGAGAAGGTCTAAAAGATGGTCCCTAACCTTCCCGGGTATGAAGGAGGAGCCCTTAGAGGAGTCTCGGCGAGGGTCTAGGGTCAGATTAAAATCATCCCCCAATATTAGAGTCCCCTCTAAAAAGGAGTTGAGTGTAGAAAGGAATTTCTCCAGGGTTGGAAGTGGGTCACAGTTGGGCAAGTCAATGTTTGCAAGGGTAAATGTATGTGTATAGATCCGGCCTTTAATCCGCAGGAACCTGCCCTCATGATCCGTGCGGACATCAAGGAGTTGCCAAGGAAGAGAGTTCAATATTAAAATGCTGGTACCCTTGGATTTAGAGGATGGAGATGGACTATGATAAACCATTGGAAAATGCTTGTTGTATAGTTTAGGAATTTTGTCAAGTTTAAAATTAGTTTTTCCTGAAGGAAAACTATCTGTCCTCTATGTCTCCAGAGTTCTGCCAAGCAGCTTGTTAGTTTCTCATATTCAGCCAAATGCTTCAGAACTCATTGGACGGCGCTTCACAGTGCAGATGGACAATGACCCAAAGCATACTGCAAAAGCAACCAAAGAGTTTTTTAAGGGAAAGAAGTGGAATGTTATGCAATGGCCAAGTCAATCACCTGACCTGAATCCGATTGAGCATGCATTTCACTTGCTGAAGACAAAACTGAAGGGAAAATGCCCCAAGAACAAGCAGGAACTGAAGACAGTTGCAGTATAGGCCTGGCAGAGCATCACCAGGGATGAAACCCAGCGTCTGGTGATGTCTATGCGTTCCAGACTTTAGGCTGTAATTGACTGCAAAGGATTTGCAACCAAGTATTAAAAAGTGAAAGTTTGATTTATGATTATTATTATTCTGTCCCATTACTTTTGGTCCCTTAACAAGTGGGAGGCACATATGCAAACTGTTGTAATTCCTACACCGTTCACCTGATTTTGATGTAAATACCCTCAAATTAAAGCTGACAGTCTGCAGTTAAAGCCCATCTTGATCGTTTTCTTTCAAATCCATTGTGGTGGTGTATAGAGCCAAAAATGTCAGAATTGTGTCGATGTCCCAATATTTATGGACCTGACTGTAGGGCGGGACACAGCCACAGCATGATAGCTGACTAAAAAGCAAGCTTGTCCCAGCATATTTGGAAAAATTGGCAAGTATGCAGGTAATGAAAGATACTTCAATTTATTTATTTATTTATTTTATTATTTATTTCAGGTAGTTATATAGCGCTGTCAATTTACGCAGCACTTTACATATATATATATATATATATATATATATATATATTGTACATTCACATCAGTCCCTAACCCTCAAGGGGCGTACAATCTAAGGTCCCTAACTCACATTCATACATACACATACTAGGGCCAATTTAGACAGGATCCAATTCACCTACCAGTGTGTCTTTGGAGTGTGGGAGGAAACCGGAGTACCCGGAGGAAACCCACGCAGGCACAGGGAGAACATGCAAACTCCGGGCAGATGGTGCTGTGGTTGGAATTCAAACCAATGACCCTAGTACTGCCAGGCGGAAGTGCTAACCATATAGCCACTGTGCTGCCCCAATTTCTGCTTCAATAACAGTGTGCAAAAAACATGCTGCATTAATACTTTCTTGGATTAGGAAGTATATTCTCCATAGGAAGAGAGAGATACATAATCATGTACAAAGCTTTAGTAGGACCTCATTTGTTATATGCAGTTGATTTTTGGGCATCAGTTTACAAAAAAAAGGATGTGTGGATAGGTGTAGAAGTGTGCTCGGTATAGAAGGTGGTCACACTGGAAGTTGTGTCTTTTAAAAACTACAAGTGTGACCACCTTCCATACTGAGCGAACCTCTACACCTATCCAAATATCGATCTTCTGGAGCATCTTTCTGTTGCTATCGGACAGGCAGCAGCTGAGACCTCAGCAAGAT